TGCTAACCTGCCGATTGTCCGGTGGGGAGCACAGGACATTGGAACGGGTAAGAGTTGAGCGATGGGACTGTGGGAGGATGGATTTCACAAGGGATGACATGGCCCAGCACTTCCAGGACCTTCTACCACCACAACTATTGGCAACAAGTGCCTCGCAGTTAACCGTCGGAATATGTCTTCATGTCTATGTCCATCTCAGAGGCAGGTTTCTCACCTTCCTTTTATACGGCCGATCTAGATTGGAGAAGATGACTGTCTGTCTTAAGATGGACAATTATTTATGGGGGGGAAAGCAAGATCTGAACGTTTACATTGCAATGACAGAGTAAGACATGAGAGTCTCACTGACAGACGTGCTCACAAAGCATTTTGATGGAGCCGTTCTGGTTGTACGTCTGTGGCTAATACAGAATGGCGAAAAAGGAGATGTTAAATTAAATAGACCTGATTTGCACCATTTCTTCATTTGACTGTGCCTTTGGAAGGGGAGCGCTGCCTTCTTTTAGGGCCCCATTACACTGTTACATGGTACATGTGGCTCAATGCAAATGAAGATCTAGTTCATTACATAGTATTCTGCTCATCATTTATCCTCTGGGTTGTTCACTGAGCTGGTAGTGTGAGCCAGAACCAAAAACAGAGTGGGAGGGATATTTCCTTGCTGACCCCTTGCAGGAGAAGGCAGCATGACCCAGCCCTTTCAGACCTGGAGGGATGACCTCTAAGGGGATGATTATCTTCGGGTTTAGCAGAAAGGATGCAAATGATGCTGGCACTCTATAGTTCATCCTTCCCTGAAAGCTTGTCCAACAGTGGCCTGGGAAATAGCCACCTCTGCCCACGGGGGTAGGTGAGCCCAACATGGAGTGCAGGCTTCAGGGTGGATGGAACAGAGATGTTCAGGCTGAAAGGTGAGCCAAGCAATCCTGTCATGTTGTGTGAGATCACCTCTGGAAGACTTCACACGCCCAGGGGACATGAGAGAGAATACACAGTCTGACATTTGCCCTGAAGGTGGCATGTCTCGAGCGTGTTGAAGTGGAGAGAGCAGTTGAGTGCAAGGCTTTGTCCCGGGGGGGTTTCTAAGTGGAGCCTTGTGTCCTGTCCTTGAAACTGTTGCTTTTTTGCCCAGGTGGACATGCACTCAGAGCAGCATAAGTCCCCAGTACAACATCTGTGAGCAGATGGTCCAGATCCGAGACGACCACATCCGCTTCATCTCAGAGCTTGCTCGCTACAGCAACAGTGAGGTAAGCTCAGCGCGTAGTCACTGTAATCAAGCTCGTTAGACAGATGAGGCTGGGAGAGGACAAGTGTGGCAGGAATATGGTCTGCCAAGAACGTGCAGTGAGGAGGAAAGAAGGACACAAGTGGAAAAAAACACTTCTCGATGCAACTATAAAAGAGCAAGTGATGAAAGGCCCCTGCAGGTGCAAAATCACGTGCACTGGACTATCTACTGCAAAAACTTCTGCTCTTTGGCCACAGCTTGGTTTAAATAAGAAGTAGAAAAATTTTTGCAGCTACATGTTTATTGTCAGCCAGGTGGCAGAACACCCATGTCTTGCAAATGGGTCCTTTCTATTACACAGAGCTATTGATCAGGGCTTGGAAGAAAGTTCACAAGGGCATCTCTGTTCTTCTTGAATATCGGAGCCCTCTCTGATGTGATTGTGACTGTTTTTTGGAAATGTCTGATCCTCATTCATCACTGTTAGTTTAATGAATTGTTAGCATTCTCAGCCCTTTTTGGCATTTGTAAGTGCTTATTTGAACTTTAAATCAGTAAAGGACTCCCAAGGATTTCAGTAGTATTAGACCATCACAAAGGCATGGGAAAGTGGAAGGAAAACAGTTATTTGCTCTGAGGTGGCAAGTCAGACTCATTTTTCTGTAGGAAATAAATTGACTGCCTGGATAAAGAGGCTTGCCAAGTTATACCCCTTTTCCTGAGGGACAGTATATGCACGGCACAATTTTAGCTTGATCATAAGGTCACGGGGAATTAATTTCAGCTGGGATTTGAGAGAGAGATCTGTGGCTGCTGTTTGGCTCAGCGAAGCCTCTGCAGCAAGTTGCTGAGCCTAGCCTTGACATGATGTGATGTTCTCCAGGTGGTCACTGGCTCAGGACTGGACAGCCAGAAATCAGATGAAGAGTACAGGGAGCTCTTTGATCTCGCGTTACGGGGACTGCAGCTGCTGTCCAAGTGGAGTGCCCACGTCATGGAAGTGGTGAGTGTGTAACATCCTCCTCTTTCCAGGTGAACGTGAATGTTTTAACATGGCATGTAACAGACTGTGGAAAGGTAAGCTTGCTTTCATGCCACCTAACTTTAAGCCATTAACAAACATGCTAAGATCAGGCAGCTAATGACTCTGAACACCCTCTGTAACAAACAGAGAAAGAGAGCTTGATCTTCTCGCCCTGGACCTGAACTGCCCTTTGCAGGTGCTGGGGTATCCCCACCGATGTTAGAGGGGGCCTGGGTGACTGTTCTCCTAACCTGAACTCCTCGGTTAAGTACTGAAGGCTGGCCGGGATGAGTCTGGGTCTTGAGCAACTAAAACTGTAATTCAAATCATGATGGAAATTCTTAATTTGGAAAATTCCAACCACATCTCAACACAAGTCCATGGATGTCAAAAGCCCAATATGACTGGCAACCTCCCAAATAAACAAAAGCAGTATTCAGTACAGTGATAATAAAGCCAGGAAGAAGCACAAATTCTGCTCCCAAAGGAATGTCAAACAACTGTAGTAATGTCTAGGGAGTGTTTTCCTGGCATAGGGTCCTCTTTCGTCTTTCCGGCCTGGCTTCTTCCTCATTGCAATGTTGTGTCTCTTTCCATCTTCTAGTACTCCTGGAAGCTGGTTCATCCCACAGATAAATTCTGTAACAAGGATTGCCCAGGAACAGCAGAAGAGTATGAGAGAGCCACCCGGTACAACTACACCAGTGAAGAGAAGTTTGCCTTTGTGGAGGTAGGTGTCAACTGCACAAGAGTAAGAACCAGAGTAAGTCCATGTTCCTCAGGCCAGGGGAAGAGGAAGGAAGGGCATCTCACCATACTCAGCTGGTTCCTCATCTCTGTGGCCCATGTTAAGGGATGAAGGGTTCCCACATCCCTGTGGTCCTTAATATGCCCAGAACTAAGGGGCAAATTAAGTTCTTAGGAGCTCCTACTGGCATAGAAACACTGCACCAGTGCATGACGAGAGCAATTCTCCTCTCTTTTCCTGATCCTATTCTTCTTGTGCTGTGTTTGTGTGCTGGAGAAAGACAGAGGTGAATCCTTATGTTCTCTTAATATTACTATATTAAGCCTTTCCTGACCTGAAGAGAGGGTTCAGAGCTCCTGAAAAAGAAAGGGTGTGGGCTTGCAGAGCAGCATGATCTGGAGCACGATCAGGAGCTACGTTCACGCTCTGTGCAAAGAGATCCACAGCCAGTCCCCAGGACACATCAACTCTCGGTCCAGCTGTAGTCAGTGGGAATAGTCCTCCGAGCCTGGCTGTGGGAGGCCCTCAACACCTTCATCTTGCCTTACACAGTCCAAGGTGGTTGGGATATTGCCTTAATTTTTTGTGGTTCACTGCCTCCTGGGAATTGTCACTGTACTTTTCTATGAGGTAGGCTGCACCCTGAATGCGGATGCAGGTCCATGCAAGCCATGCAACTGCACCCACGTGTGGAGCACATGCAGTTTTCTGGGGTTGTGTGTTATTAAAGATATCAAGAGATCAGGAGTGGAAACAGAGCCTGCCAAGGGACAGGGGCCATTTGGCAAGAAACTGGTGGTGTAAATGCTCTCCTCAGTTTGTGATCTGTAAAGCAGCTAACATAAAAAAAAAATTAGCCACCTAATTACTGGACCTAAGTTACTTCAGTAGAATTAATTTAGTCCCAAATTCTCTTGTTGGATTTATGGACCTCTTCATACAATGGAAAAAATAGCAAATATGTTTGGTTTCAATTTTTTGTTTCAGGTAATTGCCATGATCAAAGGTCTGCAAGTACTGATGGGCCGGATGGAGAGTGTCTTTAACCAAGCCATCCGCAACACTATCTATGCAGCCCTGCAGGACTTTGCCCAGGTGACCCTGCGAGAGCCACTCAGGCAGGCGGTCAGGAAGAAGAAGAACGTTCTGATCAGGTCAGTCTGTCCTTCTTGAACATAATACAAAGCCCATGTATTTATTTGTGTAATACATTTGTACTATGTAAGCATGTGGCCCTGCATACACCTCATGGTAAACAATCAGCCAACATAGCTTGGCCAGCAGCTCTTTCCAAGGTAGCTTTTGGGCATGTCTGCCCCAGTAACAACAGTGTATGTCCCCACCTCAGATTACTTTTCCTCCCATATGTACACAGCAGTGATTATTTTCATCTGAAGTAAAATCAAGCTTAAGCATTACTTTCCCTCTCCCACCCACTCCAGTGTCCTTCAGGCAATTCGGAAGACAATCTGTGACTGGGAGGGAGGTCGAGAGCCTCCAAATGATCCCTGCCTGAGAGGTGAGAAGGATCCTAAAGGTGGATTTGATATTAAAGTCCCACGACGAGCAGTAGGACCCTCAAGTACGCAGGTATGTAAATCTCCATCTTCTGTGTAGGGAATTAATGGCCTTACAGTCATGTAGGAGTCTCCCATCCAGCAGATTAGCAGCTATTTCCATGGTCTCTTCCACAAAGTCTTCATGCTGTTGTGTGTTAAAGGTTGCTTTGGTGCCTAGTTTGTTGTATAGTTCCCAAAGCCTCCTTTTTTTAGGGGTGTAATTATTTCTAGCTCAGAACGATGGTGGCTTATGGGTGCAGAGACTAGTAGCCACCTGGGAGAAGTGTTATTTTTTGTTGCAGAACACCATGGCTGTGTGTGGTGGCGTCTCACTGGAGAGTGGTAACTGCGTGTTAACTTTTTTTCAAAGCTTTACATGGTGCGGACCATGCTGGAGTCCCTCATAGCAGACAAGAGTGGCTCAAAGAAGACTCTGAGGAGCAGCTTGGATGGGCCGATAGTCTTGGCCATTGAGGAGTTCCACAAGCAGTCCTTCTTTTTCACCCACCTTCTCAACATCAGTGGTGAGCTTATGGCAGGGGGTGGCTTGAATCCAACTCTTGCATGCTCAAACAGGCAAAGATAGCTCATCTTTGCTTCTCATTGACTGATGCAAAAGATTTTCCTTGATTTTTCCCAAACGTTCTACTTCTGCCTGGTACAGGCATATTTCTGGGTAGTAATCATTATGTGAACAGGAATGAGTCAGCAACAGCAAATAGCTGCAAGTGGTAGTTTAGTTTCTAGGACTGGAGTTTTCTTTCCATCCCAGACAAATTTCTGAGCCACTGGGCACAGAAGAAATCTTCCAGGATAACTCTGAGCCATTGAAATGTTCTCCCTGGAGCTCTAGAGCAAATGGAACAATCCCATCTTTCTTCTTCCATTACAAAGTGTTCAGACAGCATTGGACATTGTCCGGGTTTAAAAACAGAGACATCCCAGAAGAATGTTCCACACCCAAACCCAGTCCAATATGAGGCTGCAGCAGCTGCCTTTTGTGGCACTACCCTCACTGCTGTCCCCGTGGGGGTAACACGGGCATCCTCCCACCGGGGAAATCTCTGCTTTTCAGAAGCGCTGCAGCAGTGCTGCGACCTGTCCCAGCTCTGGTTTCGGGAGTTCTTCCTGGAGCTGACCATGGGCCGCCGCATCCAGTTCCCCATCGAAATGTCCATGCCCTGGATCCTCACAGACCATATTCTGGAAACCAAAGAACCTTCCATGATGGAGTAAGAGCTGATGGGCTGTGGCAGGACACTGCACATGCTGGGGCTTGGGATTTTGTTGTGGAGAAGGGTGGGCTGGTGATGAACAGTCTTTTTGACGTGGGAGGGAAAATAGATGTTTCTTGACTTGCTGTCACATGAATGTGTGCTGTATGAATACCTCGTTAGCAGACGCACACGGGTGGCTTCCTGGCACTGGCACGCACTTATGTATCATAAACCAGCAGTTGGCAACTGTTGTATTTGGGTGTGGGCACAACTAGGTGGTACCATCATCTGCATGCAGCAGTCAGCATGTGCAACCAAAGGGATGTGGGCCCTGGCTAAGGCACCTGAACGTTTTTATATATGTGATAAATGATGAGAGGAGTTGCTGTTAGACAAGTGTAATTATGTTTGTAATATCTTCTTCATTAGGAAAATTTTCTTTTCATTTTATGGCCATTGTCAGGGCACTCTGTGGAGTGAGAACAGCATGAAAGCTTTTTTAAGGGCAGAGAAGGAGTAAGTGTTGATTGAACAAGTCACAGTTAGCTCAAATCCAGATGGGTTCTAGCTGCTTCCAGCAACTCTGACATAGGGAGCAAGAGGGAAAATTTGATGGGCTGGAGTGAGTGGAGACGATAGGAGTGAAGTCAGAGAAAAGCCATTTTTTGCTCCGAGCCAGGCACGTGCACTGGCTGCCATTTATGCTGCTCCAAGGTTAATTTAAGCCATGATCTGTCTTCTTGCCCTCAGGTATGTACTGTACCCCTTGGACCTCTATAATGACAGTGCGTACTATGCCTTGACCAAGTTCAAAAAGCAGTTCCTGTACGATGAAATTGAAGCTGAAGTAAGTTCTCTTTATCTTTATTGTATGGAAAGAGCTCACTGGGGTCACATTGCCCTGTTTGACAGCCCCACCCAGCAGTTCAGTGAATTCATTATAAGCATCTCCTGAAAAAAATACCCATCAGACTGAGAAGTTTTCAAAAGCTCAAAATTTCCAGAGATGTTACAGACTTTGCTGATGAAGGGCTTCAGCTCAGCTGTACCCATGGGGAACAGTGGAAGCCAAAGGCTGTCAGACACTGGGGGCATGGACGAGGCTGTCAGATGGGCAGGTTATGAGACATCAGAGGAAAATGAGAAACCGGAGATCCCTGAGACACAAGAATGACTGGGGATGGGGAACTGGGACCTGTAAGAATATGCAGAAACTACAAGAGAGAAATGTAACTGCAATTCTCTGCTTACCTTTAGCATGTGAGAACTGCAGCGTGGTTTTTAGACAGTGTGACATACACGTATGTATTAAATTAGAGCTCTGCATTGAGATGTATTGATCTTGCATGCGTAGGAAGGAGCTGCTCTGTGTTGGTGATGCTCTCATGATGCCTTGTTTTTTCTCCCCCAGGTGAATTTGTGCTTTGATCAATTTGTGTACAAGCTGGCAGATCAGATCTTTGCCTATTACAAAGCAATGGCTGGCAGGTAGGAGAACCTGACTGCTGCTGCTGAGCGATGATATCGCTGCATCCAAATTGCTGTTAACCAAGTTTCCCCTCAGGGAGTAGCTGCTGCAAGTAGACATAACAAATAGATCATCCCTGTCCCATATAGCTGGCTATCCATGTCAGACCAGTGTAGAATGGGAAAATGAAGTAATGGTGGCAAGGAGACATGGTTAAAAGTGAAAAAATTAGTAATTGGCATCCTAAATAGCTGTCTGAGTGCAATTTGTGGGAGCAGCAGAAAATCAAACTGAGCCTCTTGAAGACACATCCTTGCTTGACTTCTGTTTGCGTACCAGACAGATGAGGAGCGAAGCCTCCCATCTCTAAGAAACAGGAATATGCGCTCGTCCTTACCCTAGTAAAGCAGTAGCACTTGTGAAGGCCAGGCCGGTACTCAGTATCTTAGCTCACACATCAGACCAGCTGGCTGTAGGATTTCTGCAGAGGCACTTGCTCCCTTGTGGGGAGATAAGCCATTTGTGACATTTCCTTCTAACCACGTAAAGAACATGGATGAACTCTAATTAGAGTCCTCTTCTCATGTCCCCAAAGGTGAACCAAGTCTTCGGTGTAACTCTGCAAGGAGTTTTGTCTCTAGATCACATTTGGCCTTAGAGAAGGAGAGCAATCACCATCACCAACCAAATATTCCCACAGGAGATCTTCAAGGAGGGGAGCCCAGCTGTGGGAACAGCCCAGTACCTGCCACTACTGATATCTTTCAGACAGACTTTTATCTTTTTGAGTGTTTTAGCCATAAAAGCCAAGAATAACGGACAGTAGTGTGGCAGTCCCCAGATAACAACCACTGTTCTGTGATTTAGTAGTGAAAGCAGAGTTACTAGTGTGTGGAAATTTCTTGGCATTCAGAGCAAGATGAAAAGAAGGATGAAAGGAAAAGATCCAGAGAGAAGCTGATAGTGTATGTTTCTTTTTTTCAGTGTTTTATTGGACAAACGTTTCCGGGCTGAATGTAAGAATTACGGGGTGATTATTCCATACCCACCATCCAACCGCTACGAAACACTGCTCAAGCAGAGGCATGTCCAGGTACAGTGCAAGCAGTAGACTCCAGTAGTCACAGCTCTTGGTCTATTACCCTTTTGTTGGTTCCTGGCATCCTAGTGCTGGGCTCAGTCGAGGTCCGTGCTGGGATGAGAAGGACTGAACCTGTTTCTGACACATTGCGCTCAGGGCATAGGGCCCGGGGGGAAAATGAGTTTCGGTCCACGTTTTCTTCCTTCCCTTTTAAGTAATGGTAACCTCAACCGAGGCGTTTGCATCAGCACTTTCACATTTAAACAGACTTGGATGTTTGGTTTTAATTTGTGTCTGTTTTAATAAAAAAAAAAGTACCTTTTCCCCATCTGTATATAACGTGCAAATATCTTCTCTTCTTTTCCCAGTTGCTGGGTAGATCGATTGACCTGAACAGGCTCATTACCCAGCGTATCTCAGCAGCGATGTACAAATCGTTAGACCAGGCCATTAGCCGCTTTGAGAGTGAGGACCTGACATCCATAGTGGTAAGAACTGTTATTGACTGCAAGTATGAATAGAAAGAGTAATATACTGCTATGGATACACAGTCAACTGTCTTCTGCTTCAAGTCTCACCTACAGTAGGTTTCAGCCAGCCATGTATTCTCCTTTATGCTGCAGAGTCTTTACTACTTCTATTTATGCAGCTTTAATTGCATTATTATTGGACCATTAAGTATCTGCGTAAATCGTAAGGTGACAGTCAGCAGTTAGATTTTGCAGAGCTCGTACAAGAGAGTCCTGTAACCTGGGAGAAGGAAATCTTGGCTTTAATTCTCCCTGATGGATGAAGGTGGCTGAGACATCATTTGTATGTGTACAGGATTTACTGTCTTTGATACGTTACAGGAGCATCAGAGTCAAGTAGTGTAAAATTACCGGTTTCCACCTTTGAAGGATTCTGATGTGAAAGCCAGCCACTGCTCAGTGGGGAACAAATTAATTTTGCTTCCTGCAGGTTTAGGAGATACCAGGACCAGGACCCCCTTGAGTAGGAGTGCGATCGGCCTCAGCCACTGAGTTAAATTGATGTCTTCAGCATTTGCTACATCCTCACCTGGAAAGTTCTGTGTGGATGTGGATATAAAATCATTCCCCTGGCAATTAAATCAGCTGTTTCTACTGTCATCTTGGTAATATGTTGCATTTGCTGCTGCTTTATGTGCTGCAGGAGCTGGAGTGGCTCTTGGAAATAAATCGCCTGACTCACAGGTTGCTGTGCAAGCACATGACTTTGGACAGCTTTGATGCCATGTTCCGGGAGGCCAACCACAACGTCTCCGCACCCTACGGGCGCATCACCCTCCATGTCTTCTGGGAGCTCAACTTTGACTTTCTACCCAACTACTGCTACAATGGATCCACCAACAGGTGAGGAGGAAAAGCAAGGCAGGGGGCACCTGGACACCCTGCTTTTCTTCATAAAATTCACATGCTTTGCAGTGAGATTTTTGTTCCCTGTGGGATGCTTCATTTACAGTTAAAATGAATTTAAAGCCCACCAACTCCCCTTGGCCTTGAAAATGTTAGTAACAAATTCAAGCAACAAAGTTGGACAGTGACTGTCAGCAACTGAGCTCCTTTGGTTTTGAGGGTTGGTTTGCTGAGCAGCAGAGCTGCGGTAGCTGCTCATATATGGGTTTCTTGCCTGCCCCAAATGAGAAGGAACCTCACCTTTGGTAGGCTAAACTGTCATGTTACACCACCAATAGATTGGGGCAGGAGTTTGCATTCCAGTTCATGTAGCTCAGGTGATGAGTTGCTAACTAGCCTGCAGCTGCAGTTCATCCCAGACCGTGCCATATCTGCACTCAACACAGTTAACCGGGTTCTGACCGCCTTCCTCCCCACCTCCCCTGCCCGCCGCAGGTTTGTGAGGACAGCGATCCCATTCACGCAGGAACCCCAGCGGGACAAGCCAGCCAACGTTCAGCCGTATTACCTCTACGGATCCAAGGTCAGTAAATGAGCCACAACAGCCAGAAGGGGTGGGTGTTGGAAGTATTTATTTAGGAGGAAAGAAATGCAGGGACTAGTTCATTAACAGAATGGCAGGTGCAAATGTGCAGGGTCACGTTGCCGTGTGAAACCAAAAAGCCATGCAAGAAGCAGAGTCAGTGTGCTTTTGCTATCGCTTTCCCATATTCTTCTCCATCACATGCCTATGTTCGGGGGTGCTGACACTGCTCTGTGCTTGGTGTTGGCACCGAGACCAAGTCACATCCATCTACATGCGCAGAGAGGCGAGCAAGCTGGAGCTCCTCCCTGAGGAAGGTACCGCTTCAGGAATCCCATTTGTAGTTCAAAATGGGAATTACTAAAATACTTGTGTGAGCAAATACAGACTACTTAATACTGACAAAAAGCTCTTTTGTCAGGCTGCGATGACTGTTTATACAAGCGTTATGAGGGCTCGGGGTGTGATGCTCGTGGAGGATCACTCAAGTGTGAAACTGCTTGAGTGGAGTTTATTTCTTGTGCACGTTGATTGATGACTCTGAAGTGAACCTACAGCACTGATGCAGATTAGCTAATGACACTACAGTCAGATGAGCCTGGCTGTCCCCAGAGAGCTGACTTGGTTTCTTTTTAAGAAAACAAATGAGAATATTTTTGTCACTTGACAAAAATCTTTCTCCCCGTGACCACTGTCCCCACCTCGTGCTCTACCCTGGGACAAGCAGCCCCTGAGGACACACAGCCAGTCCTCTTGGCAGGAGCTGGGAAAGAACAGCACGAACCAAACCTCTAAGCAGGGTTTCCCTTTATTTTACTCTCACTGAAGGCCCTGCTGCGGCAAGATGGCCCTTCTATCGTCGCTGTTTTTATAGGAAAAAAAGCAATGGGGGGAGCTATACGGACTCTCCCTCATGAAACTGGAGCTCCTCATTAGCACAGTGGTCATGGGGACTTCCAGAAGCTCCTCTCTCAGTCCGTCATTCAGTGGCCCCTCTGGTGAGCTGCTCCCTTCTCCCATTTCTTCGGGGCTGGCGTCAGGATGCTTCAGCCTCACAGCCTGGTGGCACCGTGCAGACCAGAACTGCAGGCAGCCGTAAGCCAGGAGAGCAATGAAGCAGAGGAGCAGCAGGCTGCTCACCATCCACATGGAGGTGGTAGGTTCGTGCTTCGAGCCGCCGAAAACCAGGGGGGTTTTGTCTAGGGTGTGGAAGGTGGTGCAGTGGTTGCTGGAGGGGTAAGAGTTCTTGCACGTGATGCAGAGGACATAGATGGTGGATGGGGTGAGTCGGTGGAGGACGAGGGAGCTGAGGGGGTGAGGAACTCGCTCCTCGCGGTGGAAATTTTGGCGTAAATAGCCAGCAAAGACGCTGTTCCAGTTGGGGCGGTACATGACGTGGTAGTAGTTCTCCGGACAGGGGTTGTTCATGGCCCAGGAGACGGTGGCACTAGTATAAGTGATGTTGTGCACTTCGATGTTCATCGTGCCCCTGAAACCAGATGCAGGGAGAGGCTGAGTTTCCCAATTCATGTACCGGCTCAAAGGTCACTGACATCAGTGAAGTCTTTCCACCGGCTTTACTAGCCCTTAATTGGACTCAGGACTATGCCTGGCTAGCTTAGGTTAGATGCTAGGTTTTAGATGGTAAAATTACAAAAGATGAATCCTGCTGGTACCCAGACTACTGTATCACCTTTCTGCATAACTGAAAAGAACCCCAACATGCACACAGGGCATACTTTATGCTGTAGTTAGATTTTTAAAAAATCTCTTCTTTCTTACTACTTGTCTATATTTGAAGCTTTTTAGCTTTTTTGTTTCCCATGGAATAGAAAGGGTACTGCAAGTGTGATTAGCATAAACGGATCATTAAGCTCCATAGCTTCAGCTTGCTTTGCAGAGCTGTCAGTAGATATTTTGATTTTACATCTAAATGCCATTTTAAAAGCTGCATAATGATTAATTCACTGGTTTAACCTGTTGCCGCATTTTCTGTACCTAACTTGTTGCATAATAGAGTATAAACTCTTTCTGTTCCTACAGCATCTCACGCTGTAATATCAGGATCTTAAATGTGAAATCTGAAGGCTGGTGAAATACGAAATCAATGCCTTTGGGGAAGTACAAATATATGAATACTGAGGACAAAGCTCATCCGCAGATAAAAGACATTGACCACTAACAAATTACTGTTCAGCAACAGCCACAAATCACTTCAGTACACCACTCCTTTAGATCCCCAAAGTGCTCTCTGAGCCTCTCCCAACCGGCCGAGCACTCTGAGCAGCAGCTGCATGCGATAGCCCTGGTTTCTTTTTTTCCATCTTTCTTTTTCTTTTAATATAACTAACTTTCCTTTCATTCACTCAAGAAGCAGCTCATCTTAACGACTGTTTTAACCATTCTTACGTGAAGAGCAGAATAGCACACGCGCCCATCGCTGAGCCCTCCCAGAGCCGCAGGTAGCCGCTTACCTCCCCGGCAGGTCCGCGGTGGCCCGTCGGTGCTGGTGAGCAGCGTGGCCACGGGCGGGCAGCGCCTTCCCCTCTTCCCACCGCTCGCCTCCCTCCTGCCTCTGCTAAATCCCTTCCCCGCGCGCTGCCTTGTATTATACCCGTCTGGGGCTCCGTCATCTCTCACCATAGCAACCAATAAGAAAGGATGGGCAGGCATCTTCAAGTGATTTGGGAATGTTATCCCTAAAAGCTTCTGCCTGCAAGAAGTATGTGTCTCTGAGGTGGAAAAAACAAGCCAGGTAGTTTTGTTTGCTGGCTTTTTTTGGGTGGGTGGGGGTTTTTTTTT